AGGTACGTGTATACGTGTCTATGTCAATGTCTTTGTCTATGCCTATTTATATGTCTGCATCTGTGTCTATGTCTATGTCTATGTTTGTAGACATGCATGTATGTACTTATGTATACATGCATGTATGCATGTATGTATGTATGCATGCATGCATGTTTGTATATGTGTATGTGTGCATGCATGCATGTATGTATGTATGTAGGTAGGTATGTATGTGTATATTTATACACAATACAACTGTAGATGTTTCCCCGTCTACGGGGCCTTGGGGCCCAGGGCCCCAGGCCCGACAGCGCATAGCGGAACCAACGGCCTCAGAGGTGACCCAGATCCGCCCAGGGAACCCCGAGTCGCCCCCGAGTCCCCAGAAAATCACTCCCACACGCCCGTGGTCGCCTCCAGAGGGCCCACAGCCCTCCCAAGGCGCTCCACGAAGGCGTCTGGACCGGCCCACAACGCCCCCGGGGCGCTCCAAGAGGGTTCCCAGACGCTCCCCTGGAGGGCCCCAATAATGGTTTCATGTGTTATTCCATGTCTTTGGGACTCGCCTGTTCCGCTTGCCGACGCTCCAAACCAGCCCCAGAAGCACCAACACCCGCCCCAAGGCAGTTCTAGAGGCTCCCCCCACGGGCGCCTACACTGCCCAAGAGGCCCCCAACCGCCCCAAGACACCTCTAGGACATTCCGAGAAGGCACCGAGTCGCCTGGTGTCGCCGGAAAATCACTCCCAGACGCCCGTGGTCGCCTCCAGATGGCCCACCACGTTCCAAGGTGCTCCACGGCTTCCAGACAGTCCCAAACGCCCCCCAGACTCTTCAAGCATGGTTCCCAGACGTCCCTCCAAGAGGGACCCAAGAGGCAACATCCAGTAGTTTCCCAACGGTTCTTCAATGTTTTTCGGATTCCCGCTTGTTTGGCTCGCCGACGCTCCAAACCAGTCCCAGAAACGTGAACACCCGCCACAAGACGGTTTTAGAGCCCCCCCCCACGGGCGCCTGCACTGTCCAAGAGGCCCCAACAGGACATCCCAAAAAGGCACTGAGTAGCCCCCGAGACGCCGGAAAATCCCTCCCATACGCCCGTGGTCGCCTCCAGATGGCCCGCCACGCTCCCAAGGCGCTCCACGAAGGCTTCCAAAGGGTCCAAACGCCCCCTGGGCTCTCCAAAGAGGTTCTCAGACGCCCCCCAAGAGGGCACCAAGAGGCAAAACTCATGTGCTTTCCCTCTGGTTTTGAATGTTTTTGGGGCTCTGGCCTTTTCGCCTCGCCGACACTCCAAACCAGCCCCAGAAGCACCAGCACCCGTCCCAAGAGAGGGTCCCGCTTTGGGTGGGGGTGGGTGGCCCCCCCCCCCCTGGATTGTAGAAATATTGAAAAGACGCTCTGTACTTACACGCAGGTTGAGAAAAGTAGGTATTTTTGGATTCCCAGATCCCAATCTACTTCAGGTGCCTTCCTACTTCAAGACTCGATGTGCTTCTTCTGTGTTTCGTTATTCTCCGGGAGGACCTGAACCGAACCTACTTTATCCGTCTTCCTACTTCAAGGTTCTGCCTACTTCTTTCGACCGACGTGTATGCGCTCCAGCGTCACGCAGCTAGGGAAATTGGGGCGTCTACGCACCGATGTCCTTGGCCAGCCGGACGGCATACTTTGAGCCTCTCCTCTGGGGGGGTTGTTCGGTCGTCGTGGGGCAGCACCTGTACCTCCTCGCGTCCTGAGAAGTCGGGGCAGATTTTTTGACGTCCTCGCTTTGGGGGGGCAGTACCATGTAAAAAAACGCCCCGGTAAGGGGGTCGGGACTTTCAGGGACCCCGTATCGAACACACGCCAGTTGTTGAATGTAGGTGTTTCTGCATTCCCAAATCCCAGTCTATTCTTAGCGCCTTCCTACTTCAAGAACCGACACGTTTTGCTGTGTGTTTGGTATTATCTGGGAGGGGCTGAACCCAATCTTCTTTATCCGCCTTCTTCCGACCGACGGGTACCACGTGCAAAAATGGCCCGGGAAGGGGGTCGGGACTTCCAGGGACCCCATGCCGAATAAGTCACGACATCGGATGTGTGTGTGTGTGTGTGTGTGTGTGCGAACGGGCCTTGAGGGGCGAGGGTCCTGGAAGTTTTTTCCGCCCCTTCACTTCGTGCTCTCCCAGACCTCTCATGGCGCCAACATCACAGACCGTATTTCTTTCGGAAAACGATGGGATGGGCCCGGCGAGTCCTGGAGAATTTTGTTCCGGATTTCGAAGTGAATTTCGTGCGGATTTTTTGGCCAGGAATGACGACCAAAAATAATCCACGCGAGAATCACTTCGTTTTTCGTTCGCCGTTTCGGGCAGAAATCCACGCAGAAATCCGCTGCAGCACGTCTGCAAGGCCTGCGCAAGGAGACCACCGACGTGATGTTTTTTTTTCCAGCGCGTCTCATTTTCCGCGTACAGGAGGATTCCAACATGAGATGCTTAATATGTTGTGTGTTCAGTCGCAGCGTTATCAGTAATTCGAAATGATGCTCCCGCTGCAGTGTTAGCTTCGTTTTAGAATCGGCGCTCACGCTTTGCTCCCGTCGTTTCAAACCGCGCTCTCGCCCCAGCGGGGGCCACTTTTCTGGATCCGAGCCCTTCGTCGTCTTTATCGCCCCGCTCCTGTCTCTTCTTGCCCCCCTCCTTCCTTGTCCTCATTGTCTCTTCCTCCTGCTCATCCTGTTGCTCATCTGCCACCTCCTCCTCCTCCTCCTCCTCCTCCTCCTCCTCCTTTCCCTCCTCGAAGGTACACATCCCCCAGCCTGCGCATCATGCGATGAATGCATTCCTCTGGAGGGCTTCAAGGGTCCCCGCTGTGGCACCCGTCGGCGGACCAAGAGCAAGAGTCGGCGCCATGCGAAGGGATGGGTGGGAGGGGTCTGATTCCAGATACGGCGCGAGCGCACCCCGCTCGCCCCCTCCTCGTCGTCGTCCTCCTCCTCCTCCTCCTCCTCCTCCTCCTCCTCCTCCTCCTCCTCCTCCCCCTCCTCCTCCTCCTCCTCCCCATCCTCCTTCCTCTCTTCACGCCCCGCACCCTGCGCTGTGTAGTGCCTGGCCCGAAACCAGCCGCGTTACCGATCAGCCTTTCGCACGCACCGAGCATGACCAGTGTTTGTTTCATGCTATGTTGGACTTGTGCATTGACCGCTGGTGCCATCGAGTCTCGAACGCCGCACTGGTCCGATTTGGCAGATTCGTTTAAACTGGGAATTCGTTTCTCGAGGCTCGTGCTGGCCGACGCCTGCGACAGACAGCAGGTCGATTTCGGGCGTACCGGCCTATCTTCGGTTTGAGTCTGGTCCCTGATGTAGCTCACTCATCGTCCTCCTCCTACTCCCTCTTCTTCTCGGCGTCACCCCAACATTCTTCTACTGTATGTGCGTCGCCCCCCCCAGGGGCGACGCGCGCACCGAGAAAACTTGTAGTATATGCGTCGTGGCGGGCGCTTTCTGGCCACGCCGCTCGGGAAACGATGTACTACAAGGCGGGTGTACTATATGTTCGGGTCGGACGCGCGCCTCCAAGGAGGACGTATAGTATTAGTATGTCTCTGTGCGTCTCTTCTTCTCGTCGATCCTGTACTTCCCCATCCGCACCACTGTGTCATTTGACCAGGCTTCAAGTGTCGGGCGGCCTTGGCATTTTATCGCCAGCTGTTGAAAGCGTGCCGTCCGCTCCCAGCTTCTCCCTTTGACAGTCCTTTGGCACGCACCGAGACCTGCGGACTTCTTTTCCGTTGCACATGGCCGACCGTTGGTCGAACGTGAAGAGGGGGGAGGGAGGGAGGAGGAGGAAGAGGAGCAGGAGGAGGCGGAGGAGGAGGCGGAAGAGGAGGAGGAGGAGGAGGAGGAGGAGGAGGAGGAGGAGGAGGAGAGGAGGAGGAGGAGGAGGAGGAGGGAGGAGGAGTTGGAGGCGGAGGAGGAGAGGCGGAGGAAGAGGAGGAGGAGGCGGAGGAGGAGGAGGCGGAGGAGGAGGAGGAGAAGGTGGGGGAGGAGTGGAGAAGAGGAGGGAGGAGGGAGGGAGGACGAGGGAGGGGGAGGGACGAGGAGCCAGGGAGGAGGATCAGGGAGGCGAGGGTGAGACAAGGGGGGAAGAAGGAGGAGGAGGGGGACAGTGGGCCAGAGATGGGGAGAGGACGGAGGGGTCCGGCTGCTGGCGCAGGAGGTCTTCCACAAGGGCCGGAACTGCAGTGCCAGGGCTTGGCGCTGCTGCGCGCCGGGGCGTGCCGTCGGGCGTGGGCTGCCCTCCCGCAGGATCAGGGTCAGCGCTATGTAGGGGGTCTTCGTTCTCCTCCTCCTCCTCCTCCTCCTCCTCCCCCTCCTCCTCTCCTCCTCCTCCTCCTCCTCCTCCTCCGTCTCCGGGGGTAGGCTCGGGGGGGGGAAGCGTAAGTTAGGGGGGAATGTTCGATGTTTGAAAAGAGCGCGTTCCGTGGACGCTTGGAAGGGGGAGGGTCCGTTCCAACCGGGGGGGCAGCCTGGACTGCAAGGTGGGGGTGGGGTGGGGGGTTCGAGCCAGGCAACCCCCTCTCCCCCTTGAGGGGGGAGGGAGCTCGAACCCTGAGGGGCCCGCCTCGAATTGCAAGGGCGGGAGGGGTCGAACTGGGGCCCCCCCCTGCAACCGACGACGGCTAGCGCCAGCGTTTGCGCCGTTGGGCGGCGACGACCACGACGACGATGACGGCGGTGTCAGCAACGACGACGACGACGACCTCGACGACGACGACAACGACGACGACGGCGGCGACGGCGACGACGATGACGACAGCGACCCTGACGACGACAACGAAGACCATGATCGAGCCTTGGTAGGATGATGCTACGAAGGCTGGATGGAACCCCAGTCAGATTCTACTCGAGCTTGATCGAGCACTAGTTGGACCCAGCTCGAGCTGCATCCAACTTAGGAGGATCTACGCAGAGCTGGATCGAGCTGAGCTCTCGTCTAGTAGTAATAGATCGAGCCCGGCTAGGATTTGGTAAAAGCCTCTGGCCGGTGCCGCCGATCCGGGACGATCCTGCTGTCAGAAGGACGCTTTCGCCCCAGCGCGCTTGTTCAAACGTAAGTGGTTCGGAAACAGCTTGGAGGCATTGCGTGGGCGTTTTTTAGGGGCCTCCACGACGCATCTTCGAGGCCTCCTGGGGGGGGCGTCTTGGAGGTGATTGTTGAGCCTCTTGGGGGCCTTTCGGGCTTCTTGGGGGGCATGTGCAGGAGGCATCCAGGAGGCCTCCTGGGGGTGTGTAGGAGGTTTTTTTTATGGTGTGTAGGAGGTAATGTTTAAGCCTTCGGGAGCGCGGGCGCCTTTTGGGGGCCTCTTGAGGGCCACTTGGAGCCTCTCAGGGTTTCTTGGGGACTCCTAGGGCCATTTTGGTGCCTCCTGGGCGCCACTTGGGCCGCCTGGGGCCCTTCTGGGGCCGTCATGGAGCCCTCTTGGGCGCTTCTTGGGCCCGTCCTGGGGCCCGCTTGGGCTGTATTGGGGGCCTCCTGGGCCGTCTCGGGCCCTTCTTGGGCCCTCTTGAGAGCCTCTGGGCTTGTTTTGGGGGTCTCTTGGGCCGTGTTGCACACTGGAAGGCAGAAGAAGCGAACATGCAAACGTATACGTTTTCCTCAGGGAGTGGGACAGATTTTCCGTCTTCGCGCGCTCTTAGGAGGTGTCGGGAGGGTACGTTGGAGGCTTCTGGAGCCGTCTGAGGAACATATTGAGTGTCTTGGAGTGATGTTTCGGCCACTCAGGGCCCTCTTGGGCCGTCTGGGCGGCCGCTGGTTTTTTTATGAGCCCGCGTTCGAGCTCTCCTTGGCGAGGGGCCGACTCGGAGTGAGCTGGAGCTCCGATTTTGCCAGCAACATTGACTCGGAACCACCCCCCCCTCCCCCCCATACCCCGGCAGAGCCCCCCCGGCCCCCCCCCCCCAGCAGAGTTGAAGCTCAAGAACTGAGGCTCAGGCTATATCTGAGGGTCTTTGAAACTCACACGCCGGATCGGCGGACTATGAAAGCTGGATGCATCTATCGTAAAATTTTACAGCAGGTTGATTGAGCCTTTGTAGAAGTAGAATTCATGTAGAGCTGGATCCAGCTATTGTTGGATTCCAGTAGAGTTGAATCGAGCTGAATTGCCATGCTATTAAGGTTGGGTCCAGCCGTACCAGGATTCTGTTAGAGTTGGCCGATACTAACAAGATTCGATGAAGGGGGAATGGGTGGGGCACGATTCGAAGTCAGCCCCTTTGCGCAGGGGGGAGGGGGGGGGCCGTTTCGAACGCCCTTCCTTGGAAAGGGGGGGGTCCCCCCCGGTTAGAGGGGCCGATTCCCCGGGGGGAGGTGCCGCGGGCCCTGGTCCTCCGGGCGCCCTACACGCTTTTTTTGGGGTGGGGGGTGGGGGGCGTTCCGACGTGTCCACCTTTGCTTGTTGAAGGCAAGCGTTCACGAAACACGTTTTCTCCGAAGTTTCGAGGTTCGAGTTTTCGTATCTCTTCGTTGGTGCTCGTCGGCTTTCCAGCCTCGGGATGCCTTCCAGCGGCTGCGCCTCGCCGAGAGCGTGCCAGGGGTGCCGGACCGTCCCGAACGGCCGCCGGAGACCCTAGTTATGGCCCGACAACGAAGGAACAACGTTAGGAGTCAGGTGCTCCCAGAGATGTGGGTGTCTGTGCACGCGATGCTCAACGTCTCTTGCATCTTGTCCCCCTCAGGGACTGGAAGTCCTGGTCTTCTTCGGAGGTCTTGAATATCAGCCACCGTGCCGCGAGGCCCGAGGCGCTAAGTGGAAGGCCCCCAGATGCCCTAGAGTTCTTTTATACACTTTCAATGCTGTGTGACAGGGGGATGGGCTCATAGGCGGGTTCATCGCCCCCCAATCGCCCACTCATCGCCGCTAGGGGCCGGATGGCCCACCCCGCCCAGAGCGTGCGGAGTCGTTATCGGGGGCCTGCCGCCGATCTATCTGCGGTGCATTGCGGCTGCCGGGTCGATGCTGTCCTCCCGGAGCTCGCCTCCCCCCAACGGGTCCCCTCACGGGAGGTCTCGCTGACGTCGTCGTCGACGTCCTCGTCGGCAGGACAGGAGGCCAGAAGATCATCATGAGGACCCACACCCCGAGGAAGCTTCGGTTCTTGGAGCTTCTCCTCGCCTCGCGGTGCTTTGCTTTGCGGCAGCTGCGCCTCGCTGGGGGCGTTCGGGGAGGTGCGCGAACCGCCGCGACCTGCCGCCGGAGACCCGGGCTGTGACCCGAAAACTACCAGGGGATGGGCTCAGGGGGGGGGGGGACATCGACCTGGAATCGGCGATGCATCGTCAATAGACCTGCGATGGGTCCACCCGATGGCGTTTCCGCACGTCCCTGTGCGGGGCGGGTTATGGGGCCCATCTCGGTGATCAATGGGCGATTGGGGGCCGATGCGTTCCCCCCTGAGCCTGTCCCCCCTTGGCCGATGCATGCCCTCCATGAGCCGGGGTTCGGGCGTCGCATCATTTTCACACTGGGCGTTTTCGCCCAGATTCGTGCTCATTGGATCGTTCCGTCTCGAATTCATGCCGCATAGAGTTGGGGTCTAGAGCTCCAGCCGTAACTTTCATATGTTGCCGCAGCGTCGAATTTCAGTGGAAGCGTCCAGAGCTCAAGTGTTGTATGTTTGTGTATATAATACATCTATAGGCGATTCTACGTATGTGCACATATATGTATGTACACATGTATTTATGTATATGTGTAGGTATACGTATATGTATAAATATAACTATGTGTGTGGGGGCTTTTCTTTTGTTTCCGTTCAATAGGTTTCGTCTTGGAGTGTTCCCGGGTCGCCCGGCCGGTGCCTGGAGGGATTGTTGCGGTAAGAGCGAGTGCCGCCAGAGGTGCCCGCGCGTCGAGGCACTGGCAGTATGTTGAGGTGGTTCGGCCCGTTTCGCATGAGACATCGTCGCAAGTCTGCCTGCGTTCCGAGAGGACCAGATTTGACTTTGTCTGGCTCGTTCCGCTTGAAACATTCTCGCAACGCTGGGCTCCCAGACGCTACGCGAGATGTGGTTCTGCCCATATCGCTTGAAACATCCTCAGAGCTATTGGGCTCGGGGATACTGTGACCTGAGGTTGCCTCGTCCGTTTCGCTTGAGACATCGTCGCCAGGCTCGGCTTGAAGATACCGCCTGCGAGATGATCCGGTCAGTTTGGCCTGATATGTCCTCGCAATTCTTGGCAAAGAGATGCGGCGTGCGAGGTGGTCCAGCCAGTTTCGCATGAGACGTCCCCGCAATTCCGAGCAACCGTTTGGGAGTGCGAAGCGAAGGATTAGGAGGAGGAGGAAGAGGAGGAGGAGGAGGAGAAGGAGCAGGATGACTGAGGACGGGGAGGAGGAAGGGCATGCTCGTATTATTGTCACACAAGTACTCCTGTTTTCCATGCTCTCGGGGCGCTTCTCGTCGCCAGGGCTGAACGCGGCTCGATCCTGCCTGGGTGGTGCGGGCTGGTGCTCTGCCGATGAAGGGTGTGTCACGGGCCCATTCGCGCGCAGATTATGGGGACGTATCGAACGGTCCGTTTGTTTTACGGGGCGGATGTGTGTGTGTGTGTGTGTGTGTGTGTGTGTGTTCGGAGCCGTATGGTCCTCGCTGGCAACTTCGGTTGGCTTTTGGGGTTGTTTTGGGCCCCATCCAGGGCTTGCCTTGGCTGGAGGGGTGGCAGTGCACCTGAACCTGGGTGCCCGGGTCGCCTGGGACAGCCCTGGGCGACCCTGGCAGCCCCAACGGCGGTGCCGGGGAGGTGCCGGGGACGGGCTGCCCTCCAAAGAGCTGGGTGTGCCCCAAGGCCCACAGAAAGTCATCCTCGGAACCTCGGGCTCCGAAACGCCCTGACTTGATGTGATCTGGCTCGTTTCGCTTGAGAAGTCCTCACAATTCTGGGTCCCAAGGTGTGGTTCGCGAGGTACTCAGGCCTGTTTTGCTTGAGACATTCTCGGAACCCCAGGCTTACAGACGCTTTGAATTGAAACATCCTCGCATTTCTAGGTTGAAGAAGCGGTTCACGAGGTGCTCAGGCCCGTTTCGCTTGAGATATCTTCGGAACCTTGGGTTCCGAGATGTCCTGACCTGAGATGCCCAGTCCCGTTTCACCTGGGACATCCTCATTACGCTGTTCGCCTGAGACGTCCTCGGAACCCCAGGCTTCGAGATCCCCAGAATTCGAGTGCTCTGGCCCGCTTCGCTTGAGACGTTCTCACCAGTCTTGGGTTCCAAGATGTGGTTCGCGAGATACTCATGCGCGTTTCGCCTGAGACATCCTCAGAGTCCCTGGCTCTGACCGTTTAGCCTGAGACGTCCTCGCATCTCCGGGTTGAAGATGCGGTTTGCGAGGTGTTCAGGCCCGTTCCGCTTGAGACATTTACGGAACCCCAGGCTGACTTGAGGTCCTCTGGCCCGCTGGGCTTGCGACATCCTCGCAACTCACACCTCTGGGTTCAAGATGCGGTTCGCGAGGTGCTCTGGTCCGTTTCGCCTGAGACATCCTTTGGTTTCAAGATGTGGTTCTTGAGGTACTCAGGCCTATTTTGCTTGATACGTCCCCCGATCCCCGGGCTACTGCGAGATGCCCTGACTTGAGGTGCTCTGGCCCGTTTCGCCTGAGACGTTCTCACCGCTTTGGGTTCCAAGACGTGGTCCGCGATATGCTCAGACCTGTTTCGCCTGATACATCCTTGGAATCCCTGCCTCCGAGATGCCCTGACTTGAGGTGACCAGGGTGTAAATGCGCTATGTTGAAGGCAGCATTGACGGAGTTGTTGCTGGGGTTGCCCCGGTGTTGGGGGAAGTTTGGGACCAATACAAAGTGACAGAACAAACGAGAAATTGCCAGGTGGGCTCACACACATACATATATATATAGAGATATATGTGCATCTATCTATGCATATATCATGCATTCATATGAACGTATTCATTTGGTTTGGGTTTTAGCATGGCCAGTCAAGTGTGTCCGCGATTCGGTCGGTGTGGCTGCGTCGCAGTCGGTTACATTCGGGTCGGTTTGGTTTTGTCGGTAGTTGTACCGCTGCCGCGGCGTCGCGTTCTTGAAGCCTGCGTCCGGTAAATTCGGCTCCAGTCGGTTTTGGTTTCGCCGCCGTTTCTGGTGCTTTTCGGTTGCGCCATCGCCGCGGATTGCCCGGGGCCATGGCCCGATCAGCACTGCTTGGCTGATGTTGGCCTGGCCTGTGTCTGTTCGATTGTCTGCCTTCTCCCTGACACCCGCAGGGGAGCGGTAGCACCAGTCTCTGCTGATTATCCAAGAGGTCTCCGGGGACTTCCCGAGGCCCCTGGAGGGCCCGGAGGTCCCCGGAGGCCTCCAGAAAACTACCCGAAATTTTGACCTCCCGATCCTCGAGTCCTTGCCTCCTCCTCCGCCTCCTCCTCCCTCCCTCCTTCCCTCCCTCCTTCCCTCCCTCCCTCCCTCCCTCCCTCCCTCCCTCCCTCCCTCCCTCCCTCCTCCTCCTCCTCCTCCTCCTCCTCCTCCTCCTCCTAGTCCTCCTCCGGAGCTCAAGAGCAATTTGGCTCGAGCGATTTCGGCGCTCAGTCAGATCTTTCCCCGGGCTGCACCAAGCATTTGTGCACTCTTGAGCGCCGCCCATCGGCGGTGAACGCGGGGACGGTTGCATTTTCAGTTCGATGGCCAAGGGCAATGGCTCTGGCCAGCGGTGGATCTGCACGAAGTGTGGATGTAAAAGGAACCTTGCTCATTGGTGGAGGTGCAAGCATTGTAGGTCGCCATACAGTGAGTTTTGCGAGTGGTCTGGACGTAATGGAGACGAGGGCGGAGACGTTTGGTGGCAGGACTGGCAGGACGGCATCGCCCCAGGCACCGCTGCGCGCGCGACCGAGTCGACCGAGGCCGCTCCACCCCTTCCTGCCCGTCCTGGGCCTCAGCGCTTGGCTCCTGGCGCAGTGGTGCCCGCCTCGGCCTCGCCTGAGGCGAAGGTCGAGGACATCCAGGCGATCATCGACTCCCTCACTCGCATTGGCGACGCCAACGGTGCGGCCTCCTACTCCAAGCTCCTCGAGGTTCGGAAGGCGCAGCAGGCGGCGGCAACCATCGGCCCGCCCCTCCAGCACCGTGTCAACGCGGCTTTCCAGTCCGTGCGCGCATTGGAGGGCAAGCTCGAGCGCGCCGTCGGCCACTACCAGCGCCTCGAGACCCAGCTCGCCGAGCAGAGGAACTGGGTCCACAAGCTCAACTCTGACTTGGAGGCCGCCGAGGCCGAGCACACCCAGCTGGTGCGCGCCCTCCACGCCAACACCTGCGGACCTGGCGAGCCCAGGGCTTCTCCTGCTACGCCAGTCCCCAGTGTTGTCACCATCTCGATTGACGACATCCTCGAAGGGAAGTCCGACTTGCCCATTTCGCTGGGCACCTTCGGGCAGCTCGACGGTGATGAGTACGAGTTGGATCAGACTACCAAAGACGAGGCAAAGAAACGCATGGACACCCTGCAGGCCGACATCAAGGCAGCCGTGGGTACCCTCTTCGGGGCAGCCGCTGAGAAGATCAAGGCCGCCAAAGAAGAACACCAGAAGCTCATCGGACGGCTGCAAAAGAAGCGTCGTGCTCATGACAGCTCTGCTCTTCCTGGCGGGCAGGCTGCTGCTGCACCCGCCCAAGCTGCAGACGCACCTGCTGAGCCCTCGGCCGCTTCTGAGCCTGCAGGAGGTGGTGGTGGAGCCCCGCCTGGAGGCGAGCACTCGGCTACAGCGACCTCCGAGGAGGAGATCGCCCGCCGTGCCACTCGCCAGGCAGCCGCCAACATCTTGCATCAGTCTCCAGGGGATTCCCCCCCCGCAGGTGGCTCGTCAGCGGCCTGAGGGGGGGAGTCCAGCTTTCTTTCACTTTAGTATCTTGGAAGGGCTAGGCCAGCCCACCATCTCTCAGTTTTGGTCCCGTCTCCATTGGGTCAAACTGTGTGCTCGGCAGGTCTCTAAGTTTTTATCCCCTGCCCAGCCTAAGATGCCCAAGGTGGACCCTGGGGGGACCACTACCTCCCCTCCTCCTTCTGAGCCTCCCCCTCCTCCTGAAGGTATGTCCCAACTCGCCCTGATTTTTGAAACCGCTAATGTCTCAGGGTGGGCTTCGGGGCAAAAGTTTTTGTTAAGGACTTCTGCGCATGTGGTGTGCATGCAGGAGCATCACCTTCTGGCAGGGGAGCGTTTAAATCAAGCTAGCGCGTGGGCCTCTAGGCACAGATGGCGTGGCATATGGGGCCCAGCGGCTCCAGGTGAGGGCTCGGGGTCAAAGGGTGGCGTGGCAATCCTCGTCCGTGACTTCCTGGGCTTGCATCATGGGCCTGCTTCTCCTACACCGTCTCGGGTTATCTCTGGAATCGTGGGGATCCCAGGAGGCCTCGAGTTCGCTGTCACGTCCTTATATCTTCGAGTCGGATCTGGCATCGACCAGTTCAACCAGCAGTTGTTGTCGGATGCAGGGTACGCTTCCACCAGCTCCTGTCTTCCTTGGCTTATTGGTGGAGATTTCAACTTACCCCCGATTGAGTTACGAGATCATGGCTTCCCTCCAAAGCAGGGTGATGGTGGGGTCATCCTCTACCCGTCCTGCTCGGGAACCTGTCACACAACGGGAGGAATGAGGATGAATGATTACTTTGTGGCTAGTCCTGGGCTTAGTACCGCTATCCAGTCCCTCGACCGCAGCTCCGATGGGGACCTCTCGCCGCACTGGCCTGTTAGGATGACCCTGTTCCCGCAGTATGGGAAGCTCCGAGCGATGACGCTCGCGCGGCCGCAGCGGATCCCTGTTGCTCGGCTGATCGGGCCCGTAGGGCCACCACCCGACTATTCGGCAGCTAAGGAGGCTATCCACGAGGCCCTGGCTGCTTCTCGGGCTGGTAAGGGGGAGGACACCCAGCTCTTGCTTAACAGTGCGTACAGGATCTGGGCGGACCTGGCGGAAGGAGAGGTTGCCAAGTCGGCGGGAGTTGATCTTAGGAAAGGCGGGTCCCGAGGGGCCGTCCCTGACATCATCTGGCAACCTGTGTACCTTCGCGATGTTAATCCCCCCCGCCAGCCTGAGTTGGTTTCGGTTAGGTGGCTATGGAAAGCCATTCTCATGCTTGAGGCCAGTGTCCAGCACCCGATGCTGCATGGCCTCTCTGATGCTATTTCCTACGGCTTCGCCGTCCCGCCGACCATTCTCAAGCACCAGGGTGAACATCGGCCGCTGTTTGAACGGGCTTTGGACTTTTGCTACTCCTCGTCGCTCCACCCCTGGCCCGAGGGCCACGGTTGCAGGATCAGTGAGTTTCGGGGTCTGGTCCGAGCTGCCCTCACCTCCGCTGAGCAGGTGGCCCGAGGGCAAGCCTCTCAGGCCTGGCGCTCTTGGTTGCTCAAGGGCATTGACAATGGAGGTCGCAACGTGCATATTGCGACCAAGGCCCCCACGCCTTGGCAGCCATGCACTGTCCTGTCTGTTGGCGGCAAGATTGTTAGCGATCCGCAGAGTCTTCTCGCGTCGGAGGCTCTTCGGTATCAATCCTTCTGGAGGGCCTCGCCGCAACCGCCTCCCCCTCCTGCTGTGTTTCGGCCTGCTCCTGAGCTTCCTCGCCTCGAGCTGGACGCGGTTCGAAAAATCTGCTTGCGGCACAAGGAGAGGTCCGCGGTGTCCACTGATGGTTTCCACATTCGGCACCTGGGATGGTTGTGTGACGACGGTCTCCAATGTCTTCTGGACCTTTTCCTGGTCATGGAGACTTCGGGGTTTTTGCCCGCGCAGTTGGCGATTGTCATCATGTTTCTCATTCCCAAGCAGCCAGTGGGTGTGCGCCCCATCGGTCTCTTCACCTCGCCCTACAGGGTGTGGGCCAAAGCCAGACGTCCCATTGCTGATGCCTGGGAGCTCTCCCACGCCAGACCATATTTTGCCGCAGGATCCTTCACAGGTGCAGGAGACACCGTGTGGAGACAATTGCTCCGAGCTGAAGCTGGTGTGGCATCCTCCAAGATCGCGGTGAATCTGTTATGGGATTTTTCTTCAAATACTATGAGTTGTTGCCGCTGGACCAGCTACAGCTCCGATGTTGTAAGCACGACTTTCCGCTTGCGGTCAGCCGCCTCGCCATCAGGGCCTATTCCTCCGTCAGGCACCTCACGCTCCAGGGCATGGTGTCTGGGGGGGCTTTCGCCCTGAGTGGTGTGGTGGCTGGCTGCAGCCTTGCCACTACTATGATTAGGATCAACGCTTTGGATCCCCTTGATGCGATACCTTGGCACCCAGTGGTCGATTTTAAGTTGTATATAGATGACAGTGGCATTTCGGCGGTCGGAGATTATCAAGAGGTGGTGCAAGGTGTCGTGGATGGGGCTCGTCATTTGCAGCAGGCCGCCGACGACATCGGCGCCGCCCTCTCGGCCGACAAGGCCACGCTGATTTCCAGTCACCGAGGAGCGGGGTTGGAAATTCAACAAAAGCTTGGGTTGGAGCTTTCGGGGCCCCTCGTCACCTCAGGAGTCAATTTGGGGGTGGATGACACGCAGGGTCGCCCCCTGCGCACCCAGGGCCGAAACTCCAGGGCCAAGAGACGGAGGCGTGATGGGGAGGCCCGTGCGGCCAGGTTGGGGCGTTTATCTCGTCACCTCAGCCGCCGTCGTCTGCGTCGCTTGTGGGTCGCGGGACCCCTCCCTGTGTCCAGTTATGGTGCTGAGTGCTTCGGATTGAACCCCTCGGAGCTTCTTGGGCTCCGTCGTTCCCTCGGTCGGTTGCTGAAACCATCGGCGGGCCAGAGATCTCTGTCCACCCTTATGCTTCTTGAGGGCGACCCGTCTTGGTTGACCCAAGTCGCGTGTGTCACCAGGTGGCATAGGGAAGTGTGGGCCTCTGCGAGTAGCCTTCACCCAGCCGCTTTGACGATTCCTCAGCTTCGGCGGTACTGGCAGGCTGTCTGGAATAGACCTCAGCCCACGTGGAGGGGAGTTTCTGGCCCCCTCTCTGCCATTCGGCTGACTTTAGATAGATTGGGATGGATCATGCTAGATTTCAACCGTCTGCAGGACGACCTTGGCCATCTGCACGAGCTGTTTTACACCTCTCCCCGCCTTCTCAGGACTCATCTTCGTTCTGCTGTCCTCAGGAGACTCGAGAGGGACATTTCACGTAAACATCATTTCGTGCATGATCGTCTGTCCTTCGACGTCGTCTCCTCTTCCTTGGCCTCCTCTAAGTTCACGGCGTTGCAGAAGGGGACCCTTCGCGCCTGTGCCTGCGACGGGATCTGGACGCGTACGATGGCGCGCAGCCGCGGCTACCAGTTCCCTCAATCTTGCGAGCTGTGTGGGTCCTCGACGGATTCGATCTTCCACCGTCTTTGGCAGTGCCCAGCCCTGGATCATGAAAGGAAGGAGTTGGTGAGGGAGGAGCTTCTCGAGGGCGTCTTGGACTATGTCAGCTCGTCAGATAAGTTGTTCGTCGTCACCCGTGGCGCCATCCCCCACCCTGGAGACCGCTGCCCGCCCCCTGTGCACATGGACGACGATGAGCTCGAAGTTGTCTGGCACGTGCCCCCTCCCCTGCCAGATTTTTCAGGTGTTGTCTTTGTAGACGGGTCTTGCACCCGACGTATTATTAAAGAAATGTCTCGGGCTGCCTGGAGCGTCGTTTTGTATTCCCCTGACAAAACTCGTCTGGCTAGTGTTTCGGGCCCCGTGTGGGCGCACCTCCCGCAAACGCCCCAGGCGGGAGAGTTCTGTGCGTCTCTTGCGGGGGTCCAGTTGCTCGAAGGTCAATCCTCGCTCATCTCTGATTGTGAGAATGTCGTGCGGTCTTTCGCCCAGGATAGAGCCGCTCAGCTTTCGGACAAGAAATGCTACTCGGGGCATCTGCTGCAGGCTCGTGCAGCCGATGGTTTCAAATTTCTCACCTCGGTCTCTCACGTTCGAGCCCACCAGCCGCTCGATGACCCCGAAGTGTCTGATGAAATTCGGTTCTGGCGCCTTGGCAACGATGACGCGGATCATCTAGCTAAGGCGGCCCTTGCCCGCCACCCCACGGACCCCGATATAGAGGCGGAGGTTGAGCGGGACGTGAAATATGCCAAGGCTTTTTGCTTGCTTGCTATGCACCTCCTCCCGAAGTTTCAGTCTTTGCGAGATTTCGGTGAAGTGGAATACGTTAAGCCACAGCAGCCGGTGCGGATCGCGGGACCTAGTCACCTCTGGCTCCACTTGGGCACTTTCTGGCGTTGTGAGCGTTGCTTGAAAGTTGTCCGTCAAAAGTGGCCGCGTAAGCCTCCGCCTAGCGTCTGCCCTGGCCCACGAGACCTGCCAGTGGAGCAGATAGCCTCTCTTGGTCACCGCTGCGTCGCCTTTGAATGCGGTGACCAAGCACTCCTGCTCATATGTACGGCATGTAAGTGTTACTCCTCCCATGGCCGCTTTAAGGGCCTCATGGAGCGATGTGTTGGCAAGCCCTCCAGGTTCGGCAAGTGGGTTTGGTCCGTCGTCGCTCGTGGAGGCCACCCTAAGCGACGCGAACTGTCAGTGTTTTGCCCTCTCCTCCTTTCGGACCTTGACCTCCCCCCTCCTCTCTCCGTGAGGCCTGCTCGTAAGCGCGCTAGCTCGTACTCGGACTCGGAAGAAGACGAACGCAGGCGCGCTGTAGGTACTTCGTTGGCGGAAACGGCCGAAGCCGCCGCTCTCCACAGTATGTCTCAGCAGAGGAGAGATACCCAT